GCAGATCCGATCTAGTTAAAGCCCTAGGAACAGCAGAAATTGGCGCAGTTGAAGGAAGACTTCTCAGTGGTACTAAATAACAAAGACCTACCAGCGAGCAGGCCACGCGCTGCAGGGTCAATGCACCGCATCAAATTCATTCACAGAGTATCCCCAAGCTTTGTCCCAAGGTACCGCTGACTTCCACGGTGTAGAGCCCGGCACTACAATTTACCGGACTTAAGCTCCTAATTCGGTAAGAAAGTCTGTAATAACTGGAAAACGAAAAGTTGATAAGGTTTGTTCGAAGAGTCGAAGCAGTCAACTGCTGGGTGGCTAGCGCCTATGTCTTAGGACCCGGCTGCTGCTTACAGCAGCGACGCGGCCACCCGCGGGTTCCGTGCACGAGCGCTGCAGTGCCCCGTATAAGGGCACTGTGGGAGGTCAGCCAGTCGGATATAATCTATGGTTCCCGGTCATTCGAACGGCATTTTTCGTTTATAATTCGAAATTAATTTTATTATAAGGCGTAGGAGCAACCATTTGGGTTAGGTACTAATATGCGACTGCAGCACTAAGAAGTAGGCAATGTAGCCTGAGGGGACTCAGCGCTACCCACGGCTTGAAGAGGACGTTGAGTGGCAAGCAGTTCAAACGCTAAGAAAGGCATTGTTCAACTGCCAACTAGAGCATTTAGACACAATATGGTTATGGCGAAGGAAACGGATGCAAGGTGAGACGTGGGTATCGATTTCAAGCCGCTCAACAAAATTTCCACCCACCATTCATTACCAGAATCGTTCACATTGCTGCTCTTCTATCGGATCTGCTTATGGAAGGCCGGCAGCGTATGCGAACAGCGAATGAAGCTGCAGCCGCCAGAAACCTCATCACCTGACATCCCGTCCAGTGCTGGCGCGCAGTGGCATTGAGAGACCACTCTGCCCAGAATGTTATGCCAGTGGAATAGAACTCAATATAATTGTCTTTCAGCAAGCAAGTGATGACTCAAAGCAGCAGCAGTTAACCGTCTGTTACTCACATCGTTTCACAAATGGGAAGCAGAAGTATCTGATAGGTGAGAGGCAACTCTAAGCGGTCTGATGGGGTGGGAAAATGTGCCCACACTGCCGACATGATGGGCATTTTACTCTCCAAACCGATCATCAACCCCTGACTGCACCTGCCGAAGGGTTTTGAAGATAGTGATAATAAAACAGTTGTTCGTGGCTTTTCCGGCCCAGGCAGTAAGGCGNCTGCCGCACTCTCCAGACGCCCTGCAGGTAAGGAACATTGGTCTGCAGGTGCGCTTATCACGATGATTTCCGTCAGAGTGTTGTCCAACTGCGGTTGTCTATGATGATGACGAATTTCCTTTCCAAATTGTGTTCTCCTCACTCTTTAGATACAGATGCGCCAGCGGTGTTCGCTAAGCTGAGCAACGGGCTACGAGTGAAGCACTACAGCATAGATAGCAACATCTTGTGGCACCAGACCAACCGTCGAGTCCGCAGATTCCACGTTCCAGCTTCGCTTCGCACTGGTCTTCTTCCCAAAGTGCACAATCATGATTTAGGAGTTCATGATCGGGTCAATACAACAGTTGGTCGAGTTTCCAGACCCTTTAGTGGCGTAGGATGTGTTCCTAATCAGCGGATTACGCCCGCTTGTCCGGAATGTCAGCAGTAAAAGCTACGAAGCACTCTCAAACCAGAACTCTTGCAGATTCTTCCGACAACTGAACGGGTCTGGATGGATATATCTATGGATTGCATACTCCGTTTACTATCTGTTGAAGGATGTGATAGTATCTAGTTGTCGTGGGTAAACTCAGCAGGTACATCCGCTTCATCCGCTGCTCGAGTTCCGTTACAGCAGAGTAAGTAGCATAATTATTCATTAATCCTCTCTGGAAGCTCCACAGCTTTGGAAACATCATCATCACTGGTAGGGACCCGAAATTCGTTAGCGTTTTCTGACGCAGATTGATGAAGCAGCCTTACATAGGCCACAACGTGACCACCAAGAACTGCTCGGGCGAAGACGGTCAAGCTGAACACACCAACCGCGCTTTGGTCCAGTATTAACAGAACTCATCAATGTTGCTTGATTTCGTCTCCTGTGATGAATTGTTTTATAATACAATAGGTACGTTTCGCCCCGCTACCCTCGGGAACCCCTGGTCTACCCCGAAACACAATTATCTGCTGGAAACCAGATGTATAAGCCCGCAATTTCCGACTTCTATGCAAAATAAGCCCGCAATTTCCGGCTTCTACGCAAAAGATGCAGCAACGCGGGAATGTATGAAATAGGCACAAGGAGGGCAAGCAAGAAACTACAACCAGCGACGTTCAGCTGTCACTTCCAACACAGCCGACTTGGTTCTAGTGGACTCGCGCCCTCTTCGAAGGGCACAAGGCGGCGCCTTCGCTACTCGGGCACGCTCCATCAAATTTTAACGCAACTTAGAGAGATGCCCATGAAGAGTCCCGTGCCACTCATGGCTATATATTGCGGTATAGAAACATGTTTTAATTGAGTTGGGAACGCTCGAGATAACTGGAGCTTTTCGTTTCTCGACGGACAGATGTCGTTTTATGTACTCCAGGCCCCTCGAGCCTCGAGCACTGCAGCTTCTTCACCCTCATACATACGAACTCTATTCTAGTTACTTAGGAAAGTACGTAGCCTCAGACAATTTGTAGACTCCGCACCTGTTCTTTGTATATTTCAGTGCCCAGCGCTAAGCCACATGTAGTGCGTGTGCAGAACAATGTATCTGTTCTTTTAGCTCCGCTGGAAGAACGAGCCTGATTAGCCATCACTTAGTTAAGTCTTGTTTTTCATGATATTTTTCTCGGGAGACGGCAGTCCGTTAGAGTGGATTCCCCCTTGACTACGAACAGCATCGAAGTCATCCCTGTCAGGAGGGTGCAGGCGCCGTATCGCCGTAGTTGCCATCGGGATCTGGAGACTGCCTCCTGCGATTCCCCAGAGTACACCTGGACCATCGGGTTCTGCGATCCAGTCCCCCGGAACATTATTTCTCACTGAATTTCTATGAACATTGAATATTAATGAAGTTTAGTTTGGTTCCTCTCTATCCGTAACGCTACTTTCTCCGGCGTACTTTGCGATCTACCGTCCCCGCTCCATACATGTGCCGAGAGTGGGCTTTCGGGTGCGCTACTCCTCTGATCGCTAGGATTCCGTACATATTAGTCGGTCCTTCATTCACTAGTTTCCACAATTATCATTATATTAAGTAAAATTATCGGGTCCGTTTGTAGGTTTTCGGGAATTTCAGTGTTTTGTGACGTGCCCTGCAAAACCCCTGTAGCGCACAGCAACCTTGGCTGTCACCACGTATGAACCCAAAGCTACATAGCTGAGCGCACACAGCGCTACCAGGGATCTAAACTCGTAATTCTCGCCATTCTCACTATAATTTCCGTTAGCTATTCAAAAGGCATTCGAGTTCCGGATTTCTTCCTTGGTGAAATCCTCAGAAGAGTAGAACTGCCCCCTGACCCTCGTTGAGGGTCAGTATCCGNTCCTATTATGCATCTTTTCTTATGTAAAGATGTCCTAACTCCTGAGATATTCTATAGTATTTAATCCTTTTCATGATACTAGGCCTCTAGAGGGCACACAGAGGAGCTATTGTAGTGCCAATGCACTACAACCCCAGGGCGCTACACCACCGTTGCTGACGCAAGCGCCCTTGGGGCTGGTTGACGACGATCGAAACATGGCTGGCTCTTCGTCTCTTGGATACAACTCAGATAAATGCAACGATGTAATGGGATCCGAATGACAAACGCATATCAACCTTCAGCAGATTACCCATGGTGGGGAGTCAGTGTTGCGCGCCTGCCAGGGGCCCCGCGCTGACCTTTAGGTTGTCACTTCAGCATCGATGGGTTTGCTCAAATCCAGCTGGCGAGAGCCGGCACACAGCTGCGCAGACCTTTAGGGCTTGTTAAAAGCTAGGTTGCCCGAATACAACCGCATGCGCGGCGAGCCTTAAACGCGCAAGCCAAGAAAATGGTGTGGACATCCTGGCTTCCGGCAGCTTTGAGGTTACGATGCGCGCTGCTGATTATCCATGTAGCCGGTATTCTGGGAATGGGATTGTTTGAGGAGGAACTGAAGTCATATCCAATTGTGGGCATCCCAGCCGCTGACGCACGCCGATCTGATACTCGACTTTCCAGTGAAGAGGGTGCGCACAAAACCCAAGGTGGCTGCTCTCTCTGTTCGATTGCTCAGCGACAAGTAAACACGTGAGCGCATGGAGGAATTCGGTGTGTGTGTGGTGTTTACAGCTACAAGTGGTCCAGTGTATAACGAAGAGCATGTTCACCTCAAACCAGATGGAACGGTCTCATTCGAATGTCCCAGATCTGTATGCGGCATCGAATTTTATTTTGGCAGGACGCCAAAGGAAGAGGAGGGCAGCCAGTCTCAAGAGGACGTCACCGATAAGAATGACACGTCACGAGCTTCTTACGTGCCGGGGGAGGACGAGTCGGTGGCTACGGCTTCCGCTGAGAATAAATCTCAAATTCCAGCCGAAGTGCCTCTACTCAAAGATATTGTACACACGACAGATATGACGTGGCTAGGAACAGACGAGAAAATGCACCAGTTGGCCTACATGAAGAACTCCACGTGCGGCGGGCTCTACGTTTCGCCTTCCCAACTACCCGTTGCAACCGCGGACCTTGCATGTTCACTTTCCAACCTCGACATGAACTCAGTGTATCTAAAGAGATATAATTCGCATAGGTTACGTCTGGGTCCAGGTGTGAAACTGGTAGTCAGTATGAGTAGCACTTTTGCATTAAAGACACGTGACAGGAATTGGAGGCGGAAACTCGTGCGGTCGCCTAGCCTACGTTTATTTGTCTTTTTTGCTCAAACATTTGGACGACTAAACCCCAACATTCTAAATACGAACCCTGGACTGGTCATCAACGACATCCTGTTGAAAAACAAGCATTTGTTCTATCCCCTCACAGAACTTTGTTTGTATGGTAAGTTTTCTGAGTGCGGTGCATCGGGAGTCGAAGGTGTACGGCTTACCTGTGCGAAGTGCAGTTTTCAGCTGTTGCGCGTGTTTGTTGCTTGTGTGTGATACAGTTAAGGTGTGTGAGACCGTGCAGAGCTATCCGGAGCGGCTGTTGCAAGGCTTTCCCCAGCACGTCCATCCAGACCACCCATCGTACGTTCAACTCCCGATCTACTCGTACTTCAGGAAGGCCGGCGCGGAGGTGGCATTCCCAAAGGATGCTCCCACCATATTCCAACCGCGCATTTACGACGGCAACGTACCTGTTAACCGCAAGTCACGACCTTCCAATTTGTTTGCTCTTGCACTTGATCTTTTCTTTGGCGCCAAGGGGGAGACCGAGCGTGGAGGAACTGAGTCAGGCTCTACCGATCCAGTCCCTAATGTAGACTCGGCGACGTCGCAGAAGAGCAACACAAGCAAGCAGGAGAATACCTTAGAGAATGAAGAGTTACAGAAGGGAAACCCGCAACCACCGGAAACCGCAGGCGACTCGGCTTCTGGAGAAACCAACGGTGCAACCACCGAGGAATGGAAAAGAGAGATGTATCGCGCTTGGCATTGTTTGTGGATATTGAATCTAGTAGCCTACGAAGCTAGCGATATTTGGGAATGGGTAAAAAATCACAAAGTCAACACTTTCATCTTCCCCCCATGGAAGGTTACCGAGGTGGGAACGCTGCGGACAGCGGAAGTTGGTGAGGAACGCAAACTCAATAATCGTGCTTCAGATTAGTGGAAACAAAGTGGCCGTGCATCTTTGCTGGGTCCATGAAGTGGTACCCCGTCTTGTCAGCCTCTTACAAAAAATTCCTTTGTTGCATGAGCGTTGTGTTGCAGTTCCTATGAGGTGGCGCGATCTCTCGCCGCGATTTCATGTGGAGCCAAACTTGGAACCACTCAGCCAACAAGATTTGACCCCTGGAAACGACGGGCCCAACAGTGAGTCACAAGAGGGGACGGCGAAGGGTGAAACAGGTGACAACTCTCGTAGGGAAGGCCCTACCGAGCGCGTGGGTCCTGACACCTCTTCAAGGGCGTGCGAGGGGGACGCGGCGGTAGCGGACCGTCAACCGGAAGGGTCTTCAAGGGTCAACTCTTCAGAAACCGGCGAGCACGCAAAACCGCATGCTGACTGTTTGGGAAAAAAAACCTACACAGTGCCTTCTACCAGAAGTGAAGGGCAGGCCGGTGCTAATAAGCCTCAGGAACCGATTAGCACGGACGTTTCTAATAATGAAGAGGCCGGAGAAAAGCAAGGGGTCGAGTCTTTGGCTGGGCGCTCGAGTAGCGCAGAAGGCGATAATTCTGGCCCCGATGAGGTTCCTGAGGGCTGTTTGCCATATATCACGGATATGTCGCTTTTTAAAAGGTTTGGCTGGCCGAGTGGCCGCCTGGTAGCTGCTGGACCGTCAGGAAGCAAAGTTCCAGATGAGGCTGGAAGTACGACAGATGAATGGGTTGATGGCTCTTGGAGACCGAAGATCATTGGCTCTAACATTAAATGCCTCCCAGCGGTGCATCCGGATACGTGTGGTCTCACTGCGTCTTTCAGTCGCGTCCATGAGTCGCCTTGGGTGTGGCTTCTTGAGAGAGATGAAAACATGATGGCATCAAACCGAGTGGACAACCTCGACTACGCTGACATTGTGTGGATCTTCCGCGGCACATTCGTTAGCAAGGTGAGCTGGGAGGGTGTTTGCTTGTGGCAGGCATGATGAGCCTCCAGCTTAGACTGGCAGTAGACCAAACACGCAAGTAAGCAGAGGAGCCTTCATACTGTGAGGGTTTGCCCCCATTGGTTTTGCATCTGTGCAGCAGTGGCTCCTGAATGGTATGGGGGTTGCAGTGCCATACAAAACTCTGTCGAAGCGTGGGCGCTTTCACTACGGACTTACATACCTATTTGACAAAGCGGTTCGTCCGCTGATGGAGAAGCATTTGGAGCGTCTTGAGCATCAAATCGTAGGCAGGAAAACGCCGTTGGTAATTGTTTTCTCGGGACATTCCCTGGGTGCAGCCATTGCTGATATGGCTGCCTGGTACTTCGCAAAGCGAGCTAAGACACTTGTGGATAAGAATATGCTGCAGATCCGCACGGTGACCTTCGGGAGCCCTTCGGTACGCCCGTAGCCATACAAGGAGTGCCGGTGTTATTGTACATTAATCTGTGTCTGGCGGCACATTGCACGACGCAGGTTCATTAACTGGAAAGCTGTTGCAAGGGACAGGCCATTGAAAAGTGAGTGGAGAGTATGTTGTGGGTGAATATTGTGTGTGTGGACATCGCAGTGGGGAGATCAAGTGGCATACGACGACTTGTTAGCGTCGGGTGTCAAGGCGCAAGAGATAAGCATGGACATAGATCCTGTTTCTGTGCTGTTCGGCGAGGAAGAGTTGACAAAGCTGTCCCACAAGAAACCATTCCTGATGAAGGTGAGAGCATACACTTTCCAGTTGTCAAAGGTGACTTGACTGCACGGCCCACCAGATGCCAGGCGAAACGTCGACACTGAACACAGGTAGCCATCACGTGGACGTCAACAGGATAGTTTGTTCTTCAATCACAACCATCGATCCTCCCAAATCTCGGTGCAATGCATTTTCAGTTGTATGTTGAGGACATGGACAAGGTAGAGGTTGCATCCACGGTTCCCGGCGCGCCCCCGTTCAGCGGGAGGATCTGGACAAGACCTATATACAGACCGACACCGATCTTGCATCGCTTGGCTGCGATGTTCCTCGATCTGGAAAATGTCGACATGGTGCTGCTGAACCCTATGCTTGCTCATTTTGTCGCGTACACAGCTTCCNTCCGTTTACCACCTGGTCGGGCATCCAAGGAACCTGGCTTTGAAAAAAGCCTACGAGCAACTGAGTCCAGTGTTGCGCAGGGTGGATGCAGATCGTGCGGCGGAAGAGGGCTCGAAGGGCTAACTGCTCGGGCCGCCGGAGACATAAAATACATGAAGAAGTTGTAGCTCTGCCTTTATGCGTTCTACCGAGGTGTGTAATACACACTATCCCTATGGGACTGCCCCGCATATGTGGTCTGCAGCCGCTGGGCGCTCCGAGAGGAAGTGGTACTTCCTAGGGTTCTTCCCGTCGCTAACTCCAGCCGCCAGTGTCAACGGGGCATGTGAAGGCGCAGGAAGTTCCTCATTTCACGGCTGTGAATGTAGTTCGACGTTATGCGTGCATGCTGTAGCCGAAAAGGCAGGCAGGAGGCTAAATAAATGCGTTCCGCACTCTGTAGCAGCCGGGATGGAACTAGGTAGACCCGTGTTGCTGCCTGTCCTCATTGGCCTACGACCATACAGTACAAGAACAGCCAGCTAGCCCTGGGGCATACCGGCCGTTGGGCAAAGCTGTGGATATGTTGGATGAGTGCAAGAATGGAGCCCACACGGCAAATTGTTTTTCAAACTGACTATTTACCCCTTGACAGAGCTCTGCATAGACTCATGGGACCCCCCATTCCGGAAGTTGCAGAGATGCCAAAAGCATCTGACGCCTCGAGGCGTCTACATGTTACAACACCGTTTACAGTCAGTCCTAGGGGAGCATCGTCTGCCCATCTCCAAGAGACGTTCTGCAGCGATACCCAGTCCCGAAATAACACTTTT